CTGATTCAGCTGTTTTGTGTTAAGTGTATAAAGAACAGCTGAGCTATTATTATTATTCGTTTGTTATATTTTTTTTTTTTACTTCCTTTGGAGGTTATTTTCAGCATTTTGTTTTTGAGAATGAGTGCAGAAAATATAACTTTGTAAAAACATTATTTATTGATATAAAGGAAGCAAAGAGTGGAATGTTGTGTGATTATTTTTTAATCCATTTTTAGCAATAGCAGAAATTGATGATACTACTCACTGTCTCAGTTTGGACCCCAAAACATTACAAGTTTACTTTTCTCTGTAAATTATAATAAATTTTTGACCTTAGCCTTTATTGCAACTTGGTTTGAATAAATTTTGATCAAAAGATTCCAATTGGCTAACTGTTGAACTAGCAGAAGAGGATGATAACTCCTTGTCTGAAAGAACCCCAAATTATTATGTTTGGACTAAAATAAACCAGAGTTGTTTTTTTTTTTTCTATAAAGTAGCAATTTTTTGGGAAATAATTTGACCTTAGCTTCAACCTACCTATGCTTTAGCCTTTATTGCCAATAAGATAACAACCAAATTGGTCCAACAAAATTTGATCAAAAGATTCCTATTGGATAACTTTTGGACTACTAAAATGGTTCAAAGAAGGGGTTGTGAAATTTGTCAAGTAAAACTCTTAATTTTGTCTTGTACGGATTCATGGTTTTCTCAGTGACTTATTGCAATGAGTCAAAATCAAAACTCAATTACTTACTGTCCCTAGTTTTGCTAAAAAAACCTATGTGGGCACACATAACATAACTATAAAACAGTGTTTGAGCAGATTCGAAAAATCAATATCATGTTTGGTCTGATTTTATGTCGGAAGGAAAGATCTAATGATAAAGACTGTTCTTCTGTAGATGGTGAAATCGTAAATGATGGTGGGTCTCATTTTATCTACCTTCCTGATCTTGACCTCACGAAGAAACTGAAAAAAAGAGAGAGATTGATTCTTACAGAGAAACAGAGCTAATGTATGCAAATTTGCAACGACATCGTAAACTAAAATCCTTTAAAATTTGTATATGACATATACTTTTTGATATATGCAACTTCTCACATCTTATACTTTCTTTTGGAAAAATTATAACAAGACATATATATGGTAGTGAAATAAGTTCTGACTGAAGATTTCGTGTAATTACTTGCTAAAGATTGGTCTTTGATTACCAACAGAGAAGTAATGTTAAAGTTTTATCACTTCATCACCATGCACACAAAAAAAAAAAAAAACTCTTTAAGACAATTGTACGATTTACTACGGTTTAGATTGTGTTACATAGAACTACATCTAAATTATTCATGTTTTCATTTTGCTAATTTCTCTATAACTATTTATGTAAGACGCAAAGCATCTAAACAAATACAAGGATTCGTTTTATTTTGCTGCTTCGTGTTTTGTTTTTCTAACATTAGACGAATTTTAAACTGTTTTGAGTTTGTTTCGTTTAGAAGATTATTGTGTTTTGAAAGAAAAAAAAAAACTTTTCCCTACCTCCATTAATTTTTCTACAAATAATGTGCTAAATAAAATTGCTTAACATAAAAACTCAGGTACGGGTCTTGGCCTAGTGTTAATAACATTAAGACAACACTTTGATTGTCAACCAACATCAACATGGGTAGACGTTTTGATTTGCAATCATCTTTGTAACATAAAGAATCAGTGATTAGAAAAATCATGCATTTATACGCAAAACAATAATAGAAAAAATGAAAAAAAAATTATTGCATTACCAAACTAAGATTTTTATAACTTACACAAATCTTTGAAATTTTATTATCTATCCAAACAATTAAAAACAAGAGTAATTACAAAGTTGTTGTTACAAAAAACTAAAAATAAATTACCAATTATACAATTTGATCTCATAATAATGTCACACCATACTCCAGCATGTATATATAAACAAACAATCTATCCCAAATTGTCCAACAAAGAAAAACAATCAAAAATCCGCCATATAAACTATGATATCGAAAAAGAAAGAAAGCATCGGACGACAGAAAATTCCGATGGTTAAGATAAAGAAAGAGAGTCACCGGCAAGTCACGTTTTCCAAACGCAGAGCCGGTCTTTTCAAGAAAGCTAGTGAGCTTTGCACGTTGTGCGGTGCTGAGATTGGGATCATCGTGTTTTCTCCCGCGAAAAAGCCTTTCTCTTTCGGCCATCCGAGTGTGGAATCCGTATTGGATCGTTACTTGTCCCTAAACAATGAGTCTTTAACGCAAATGCATCAACCACAAGAAAACCGTGCAACAAGCTCCGAGCTGAATTTGCGGTTGACGCAAATTTTGAGCGAGGTAGAAGAGGAGAAGAAAAAGGGTCAAGCGATGGAAGAAATAAGAAAAGCGAAGATGATCAATTGGTGGGAAGCTCCCGTGGAAAAGATGGATATGGTTCAATTACAAGAAATGAAATATGCATTGCAAGAGTTGAGGAAGACTATTGTGTCAGAGTCGTCGAATACAACGCCGTTTAACGAGGTGAAAGAGGACGTATTCGGTTTCTTGGATAACAAAGTGACGACTTCTTCTTACAATGTTACCTACGGAAATGGTTGTTTTTGATTCACAAATATTTGTTTCTTTGTTTTGGTAGTAGTAGTAGAGGAAAAATGAATCAAAGCACACTTCTAGGCTAGTATCTTACTAGCCG